ATGGCACCGAAAACCAGCGGAAAGGCAGCAAAGAAAGCCGGCAAGGCCCAAAAGAACATTTCGAAAGGAGACAAGAAGAAGAAACGTAAGCGGAAGGAGAGCTACGCTATCTACATCTTCAAAGTGTTGAAACAAGTTCATCCAGACACTGGTGTCTCCAGCAAGGCCATGTCAATCATGAACAGTTTCGTCAACGACATCTTCGAGCGTATCGCCGCCGAAGCATCGCGTTTGTCGCACTACAACAAACGTTCGACCATCACCAGTCGCGAGATCCAAACGGCTGTCCGTCTCTTGTTGCCAGGAGAATTGGCCAAGCACGCCGTCAGCGAAGGAACAAAGGCTGTCACCAAATACACCAGCTCGAAATAATTTGGCTGCATTTCCCCGAAAATCATACAAAAACGGCCCTTTTCAGGGCCACTAAACGCTAATTTATGAAGAATTGTGAAAAGAATCAAACTCCGTATCATTTTATTTTCTGACACATACATAGTATACGACAATTGTTTCATTAATGTAATAATTATTTTTCAATTAATTTACGTATTTACATTTTGTATTAAAATTGGAGACAGATAGATTTATTGAAAAATTAGATTGAAAATTGGCATTGATCTGGAATTATTTCAATACTGGTGAACTCATGTTTCTTGTGCGGATATGTCAATACATACGAAGATCAGAAATGACAAATGGACGTAAAACACTTGATTAAAGTACAAATCGTCTCTTTTCCATCACAACAGTTTTTCAGAGGATTTTAATGTATTGCAAACAATTGTTGAACAATTTTTTTTATTGAATAAACTGATGACATTCGATCACTATGCTAAGACATATTTTTCATGTCTCATTTTTGAATCAAATTGAATTTTTTTTTTCATTCCATAAATTTGGTGCCAAAGACGTACATTGTACTTTTCCCTTACAGATTGGCTATTTCGAGTAATAATTTTTTGTAAATCGTAATCCCTTCGAGATAGGTGCTTGCTTTGATAAATTCATCATGTTCATGCAATAACACTGGTGTATTATCATAGGCGAGAATCCAATCACTGGTACATTAATCTGTCAAACAAATGATTGTTTTTTTAAATCATTTTTTGATCGTACGATAAAAATGGCCAAAGACGATGTACTTCATACCTCACGCAAGTGTCTGCTATCAATTGCGGCTGGAAAAATTTGCGGTTTAATTTTGAGTTGCCTTAAAAAAATGAAAGTTTTTTTTTTAACTGGCATTTAGTCCAAATTCAAATTATCATCAACATACAAATCATTGACGAGAACTTTCTTGAAAGCCAACCAATATTTATTATTATCGTCAAGCTTAGTAGGTTCTATGCGTTGCAATTTTTGAATAAATTGAATTTCAATTCCATCTCCAGCTTGTTTACACCAATCGTTGATATCACGATCGAATTGTTCATAGTCGATATTCACCGACATTCTCACATCGACCGACATTGTTATTTCTGGCGGTACCACATTTTGCTGAATGCCCCCATTGATCGTAGTTATATTTACGGTAGTCACATCACCAACTGTTAAATTCGGATTGTTTTCCAACCGTTGCTCTTCACTTTTGCGGAAGTTTAAGAATTTATTCATCAAAAATTAAACTCACAAATAATGTACAAAACTTACCTTGTGTGAGTCGCACTCATTCACTGGCCAAGATAAGAAGTGAAGTTTCTAGAACGCCATCGTTTTACAGTGAAATGAAAATGTTGGCAATGTTTTCATTTATTTGTAGCAAGTTTGATTGTCAATTTTAATATCAATCAACAATGATTTCTGGCATAAAATTGGCAGTTTCAGATAAAAATAAAGTTTAATGCAATTGCGTGCCTTTGTGTTTGGCTTTGTAAACCGTGTTGTACATTTTATGTGGTGGCGCAGAGTTTGACGTTTCTTTTGTATAAGTCAATGAATACGGAAACGTGGACTTTTCAGTTAAACCATTATTCAAAACTTCTCTTGATTTCTTTCAATTCGTTGTTCATATTACATTGAAAAATCAAAACTATGCGCACTTGTTGTTGAACAGAAGAATCAAACAGAAGCAAATACAGGGTAAAATGTAGGCAAACGATGTTGCAGCTCTTGTATTGTGTCGAAACGAAACATTATGCATCATCAACAGCAAATTCAATTCAAACCGCGAAGAATTCTTTTCATTTTCATTGGCATCACCTGTGTCATCTTTTGCGTTAAATCAATCGTATTGAGTAGGAAATTATTCAGCAAACATTCCACTCGAATCGAAATCACTAATAAAAAATTACATACAAATTGAGCAATCAAAATGGCTGCTTAAAAAAGTTCATAAAAACAAGGAGATATTTTGATATGCTTCAGTTGGAAAATGAAATTCATGTGCTTTAGATTGCATTATAAGTTGTCTTTTGATTAAATAGCAACATAATAATTTGTTGGCAAATTCAAAAACATCGGAATTAAATAGAAAAAGATCTCGTTTTGTACATGCGATTCACTTAAAAACTGAATATGTATGATTTTCTCGATTCTTCATAAAATATGTTTTGCTGGTCCTGAAAAGGGCCGTTTTATTTACAAGTTGTAGTCTGAAGCTAGAGGTGACTTAGGCTTTCTTGGTTTCGGTCTTCTTTGGCAACAAGACGGCT